GTGCAAGACGAGCTTACTGATATTCTTGTATATTCTTTGTGTGACCTCTGCGTGATCCCTAAAGATGTCATGAGCGAGTTAAAGGGCACGGCAAATCCAGAAGACTATCTTAACATGTGCTTGGCAATCATGTTCGTGCTCTGGGTACCATTTTTTTTTTTCCAAAAAAGGGTATAACATAACAACGTTGAACTCCTTAGACCAAGTCACTGATAGACTGGAGCCATATCAGTTTTACGTATATTGGGATTTGTTCATGGCCGGTCTAAAGTTTCCATTTCATCTTTTATTCATTTCAATTTTTAATTATCACAATTTGACTATCACTCAACTCATCTAAATTTTATTCGGTACATAGATGCTTTTATTATTTTTTATCAACAACTAAATATTCTTCCTTTTCTCCCTCTATTCACCCTAAATTTGTTTGTGCTAAGTTTGGATTGAGGGGAAGAGCTCGAAGATAAGCTTTTTGATAAAAATGAAAAAGTTGAAGAGAAAAGCTCTAAGGAAAGTATAAGAAAGTTTGAATAAAAATTGGCCTTCTTTTACTTAGAGGGAGTGGAAGTATTTATACAAGTTATCTCAAACTAAATGACCAAAATACCCCTAGTCTAATTGTGAGTTACTCTTTTAGGGTAAAAGAAAATTATACCCTTATGACCAAAAAATGCTCCCAACATTATGTTTCCCCAAAAAATAGTTTGAAGAGTCAGATGAAGGATGAGCCAAAATGTTCGATCTACTTTGGATTTAGTCAGTTTGTTGAAATTCAAAGATATATTCGAGTTTAGACTTTGAATATTGATTTTGTCGTCTAACCTTTTAATGACACAAGTGGTTTAAGATACCGACATGATGAGATATCATTTTATGATTTATCAAACATGGATGATTGTTGGTATATTAATAGTTGTTTGACTTTGTTTACTAATTATTTAATTTTGGTCAAGGTTAATAGACGGTAGATATGAAGGTATTTACATTGTCTAAGTTAGTTACCTAATAATCGATGTGATACTTGATAGATTTTATAATAAGATTCTTAATTCATTTGTGTTGAAAAAATTTATACTAAAGTGAATTTGTGCCAAGGTGATTTACAACGAGGTGAATATGTGCCAAAGTGATTTTTATCGAGATGAATTTATGTCGAGGTAATTTTTATCGAGGTGAATTTGGTGAATCTGAACTCTTATAAAGATAAATTTGCTAAGTGAAGCTTTATTGAAAAAAAATTATCAAGGTGAGCTCTTTTGAAGGCAACTTTTGTTATAATGAGTTTTTTTACTAAGCTAAGCAATTAGATCAAACTGAAATTTTTTAGTCAATTTAAGCTCTTTGATTGAGCTAATCCTTTGCTAAGAAAATATAGCAAAACTGTTATTTTATCAATGAAATTTGATTAGGTCGAGCTCTTTTGACTAAGCTAATTTATTTTAGCTGAGCTAATCTCTTTTGGTTGAGCTGAGTATTTTTTATTAAGCTAGCAAAATAAATATTTTATTAATAAAATTTGACTGAGCTAAGTTCTTTTAATTAAACTAACCCTTTATGAAAGAAATTTGGTGGAGTTAATACTTTATTTAAGAAATTTAATCGAACTGCCCTAAGCTCTTTTGACCAAAGTGAGCTCATTGATCGAGGTAAGCTCTTTCGGTTGAGGTGAGCTTTTTTTACCGAAATGATCCAGCTAAGCTTTTATGAAGGTAATTTATCAAGATGAATTTTTTTGCCAAAATGACCGAGATAAGCTCTTTAGCTGAAGTAGCCACGCTAAGCTTTTATGAAGGTAATTTACTGAGATGAGCTTTTTGATCGAGGTAAGCTTTTTTGGTTGAGATAAGTTCTTTTGGTAGAGTTGAGCTATTTTGGCTGAGGGGGTCTAGTTAAGCCTTTATAAAGGCAATTTTTCAATATGAGTTCTTTGGCCAATGTAAGCTTTTTTTTATCAAGGTGAACTCTTTTGGTAAAGTTAAGCTTTTTAATAGAAGTGGTCGATTTAAGCCTTTGTGAAGGTAATTTATCGAAATGAGCTCTTTGATCAATGTAAGTTCTTTTGCCAAGATGAGCTTTTTTTTTATAGAGTTGAGTTTTTTTTACCAAGTTGAACTCTTTTAGTCGAGATGGCCTAACTAAGCTTTTATGAAAACAATTCACCAAGATGAGCTTTTTGATCGAGATAAGCTCTTTTGGTAGAGCTGAGTTCTTTTAACTGAGGTAGCCCAACTAAACCTTTATGGAGATAATTCACCAAGATGAGCTTTTTGATCGATGTGATCGAGATTAGCTCTTTTGGTTAAGTTGGGCTCTTGTGGCTGAATTGAGCTAGCTGAGTTGAGCTATTGTAGCCAAGTTGATCACTTTGGCTAAGGTAGCCCAATTAAGCCTTTATGTTTGCAATTTACTAAGATAAGCTATTTGACTAAAATGGTCGAGATGAGCTCTTTCGACCTAGCTAAGCTCTTTTGGCCAAACTAAGTTCTTTTGATCGATGTAACTTAGTTAAGCTTTTATGAAAATAATTAATCAAGATGATCTTTTTAATCAAGGTGAGCTATTTTAGCCAAAATGAGTCATTTTGACGGAGCTAAGATATTTTAATCGATGTGAGTTTATTCGACCTAACTGAACACTTTCTATTTGCTACTATATTTATATGTGCCATCTACTATACTTTCTCGATTCCACTCATAGTAATCCCATAATCCAATTCCCTCTCTATTTTTTCTATACTCTTTTCACGCTATTTTTTTTTTATGTATTTTTTTAAAATCCTGTTGAAATGGGTGGGCTTTTGTGAGTACAAGACCTATGGGATTTATGTCTCCCTTCCTATCTCTATGGCCCATTTCTTTTGGGCTCCCCTATATACCAGAGTCCTATACTCCTATAGCCCTTAAATTTAATTCTTCCCCAATTGGTCTGTTTCCTAAGCCCAATTCACCAGCTGGATCTACATGCTTTGATGCCATCATTGGTTGGCTCCACCTGTTACGTTGTTTTGCAAGATTTCCTTTACAAAATCCAGATCTTATAACCGATCTATCTCGCAAATCATGCGTTTTATGATTATCACTAATTCCTGCCATATTTGGCCTCCGAGCCACCCCTTCGCCGGCTGTCGCCATCGTGACCGTACTACCACTAGCCCGATCACCCTCTCTCATGCCTTGTCCGTTCCTTATTGGTCTTCTCTCTTATGCTGTTTGTCTATTCTTCACCGGTGAGGCTCTGAGCCAACTTCCATATTGCTAAGCCATCAGTTTTGCATTGCCCACTTCTTATCCTCCTTTCTCGCAGTCATCGTCAACGTGCTCCCATATATGTAGTAGAAGCTAGGTAATCTCTTGTAGCTGAGACTGCCCCATGCCTCATTCGTTCCTAGCCCCGTATTTAATGGCTTGGTTATATTCACTTCCACCCTAATTCTCAGAAATCTTGCCCAAACTCCATTCTCCAGGCTTAATCCATCATTGTTAAAGTACCTATTTTGTTGCCGATACTCCTTGTTGTCTCTTAATTTCTCATACCAACAGGCAGGCCATTAACACTAATTTGGAATAGTGCTTGTGAGAAAACATAGTCTTCAGGTTTTAGCTCCCCCTTGTAGTTACTACATAAAATTAACTGTTTGTCAAAACTCCATGGAGATCCTTCCATAACTCTCATTTTGTCCGCCATTAAGGAGATTTTAAACAGGAATAAATTGTCTTCCAGATCTGCTATATCCACATCCCTTGCAATCCTCCATATCAGCTTCAACGTTGTTTTCATTGCCTCTTTGTTGAACGATCATTGTGTAAGCAATTTAGTAACCATCCATGCCTCCGTTCATTCTGCCTTGTTTCTTGTTTCAACCATAGTTGTTTCAACCCCCTCCCTTTCTTCTTCTGTTAGAGGTAGGTTCTGCAAGAAATAGTCTAGATCCTCTGCTGTACTCATAGTAAATGTGCTGACTCTCTTTCCTTCTATTGTAAACCGACTAAACCTCAAAGATCAACCTTCAAGCTGCTTTGAGATCTACCCACTTGCACTTACAAGACTGACTTACTTCTACAGAGTATAGCTCTCGGAAGACTCCCAGCGTTTGCTAATTCTAACTTACTTTGCAATATTCCAACGAATATTATTTTAATTATTGGGTTGGGTGTTTTTCTATTCCTTTTCCCTTTTTTAATCACCCTCACAGGCAAATAATTTTATTGGCAAAAGTAGTGTCAAATCTACTCAAGTCTTTTTAAAAAATTCAATCTATTTCTTCCAATCAAATACTAACTCACAAAATTTTTTAAAATTTTTTTCTAATTATTTTTCTATTTTCATCTAATTAACAATATTTTTTTATTATAATATTATAATGATCTTATCACAATTAAAGATGTCAATAGTGTTTTTGTAGGCATAACAGTATGTTTATTTTAGCATATCGTTTTGAGTTTACCGACATTACCTAATACTTTATCAATAAAATACATGTACATGTACCAATACATCTCAATTACACACTTATAAGTTTATATTCAAATTTAAAATCCAAAAATTTCAAACCTCAAATTAAATAAATATAAAAATATTATAAAAACATAATTTGAAATATATATTATTTTAGATAAAATTATAAAAAAATAAAAATATCATGAAAAAAAGCATTAAGAATTAATTAAAAATAAAACAAATAAAAATATTAAAAAATTCAAAAAATATTTTTTTATTAATTGATATAATTTGTACAATTTAAAGCAATCAATATGAATAAACATGGAAAACAAATCGATATATTAATCCAAATATATCACTTTTGCTCAAAATTGATAAGTATTAGCTTATATGTATAATATTAATTTTAATTAAAAATTATATAAAAATTTATCACTTATAAATATGATCTCTACGTAATATTTTGATAAATTTTAAATATAAAGCGATAATTGTTTATGACTTATTCAAAACGCAAACGTACCTTACTTTCTCAATGCTTAGGTAATTCCAAAACCAAGCGAAAAGTATGAGACATACAACGTGGCCCCACTGTCCCAGTAACTGATTTTCTTTTTCATTTCTTAAAATATAAATAATAAACAAATAATCTTCAATTCCTTCGGCTTTAGAATAAAAAACAAGGAAAATGTGGAAAACCCTCGAATCCTTCCCGAGTTGCTAACTTCCCATCAATTGCTATCTCCTTTGACTCAACCCTTCCCAAACAATTAACAAAAAAAAGAAAAAAAACTGATCCATTTCATTCTTTCAATTCTCAGGTTAGTTCTTTTAACCCAATTCTTGGATCTTAATTTTGATATTTTGTTGATTATATTTATAATATATGCGATCTTGTTTTTACATTTTTTTCCTGAGTTTTGAATTGATTGTTATTTGATTTATTTTCTGATTTAGATTTGAGATTTCTTTTTTTAGACTAATAAAATTGTTGGGATTGGTTTTTGATTAATGCCGTTTGCGGGATAATTTGATGAAATATTCAGAAAGATTCGATTTTTAGGACTTTTATCGTTATATGGTTAGTTGCATCTCAAATTTCCTAGTGTTTTTTGAAAAAAAAAACTGGGAATTGGGTTTTGAAGTTAGCTTATTTGGTTGATTGAAAGTGGTGATTTTGATTCCATAACTTGAATTTTTAGATTTCTCATTTTGCCTTTTTAATTGTGTATTTCCCAAATGATTATTTATTTATTTATTTATGATTCTGTTGATTTTTTATGTTAGGTGTATAGAGAATGACCAGTGGTTTTGGGGAATCAACAAGCATACCGCCCCCAAGTCCTTCTTGCTCGGGTAGTGATGCTGGTGATTTCGAATGCAATATCTGCTTCGAATTAGCTCAAGACCCGATCATCACTCTTTGTGGTCATCTCTTCTGTTGGCCATGCCTATACAGATGGTTGCACCATCACTCGCATTGTCAAGAATGCCCGGTTTGCAAGGCCCTCATAGAAGAGGAAAAACTCGTCCCTCTTTATGGCAGGGGCAAAAATCAGACTGATCCACGTTCAAAATCATATCCGGGCATAGAAATCCCAAATCGTCCAGCAGGGCAAAGACCGGCAACTGCTCCTCCTCCTCCCCCAGAAAGAAATCAGTTTGCCAATTACGGGTTTGGATCGATGGGGGGGTTTGTTCCAATGGCCACTGCAAGGATTGGTAACTTCACAATGGGTTTTGGAGGCCTATTGCCATCCTTGTTTAATATTCAGTCTCATGGATTTCCAGATGCCACTGTGTATGGAACAACCTCTGGATTTCCTCATGGTTTCAATACAGTTCATGTTGGTCATGCTCAAGGGTTTCCCCAGCCAACGACTCGGGGACAGCAGGCAGACAATGTTTTGAAAAATCTTCTTTTGTTGATTGGGGTCTTTGTGGTTCTTGCTCTGCTTTGTTGGTGAAATAGTTTGCCAGTTAAGCCCTTAGTGCCGGTTGTTTAGTGTCTGTCTCTGTGTAAATGTTAGCTGCATTGGCAATTATGTTTTGGCTTGAGAAAAAGTCGTCTATATGATACTTTGTTATTTTTGTTCCATTTAGCATCAGCATCTGCAACAACTTACACCAGTGTTAATTTCTCTTTCCAAAATAAAACAAGTGAAGGTTATATATATATATATACATACATGGAGACATTGTGTCGATTAGCTGCTTGGCTGTTCCATATGTAGCTGGTTGGTAGAATATAATCACAACTAGTAGTTGAAGAAGTGATTGTAGATAGCCTATTATACTTTGTGGCATGGAAAACTAGTTGTTCTTCCTCTAAAAGTGAAAATGAAATGAAAAACTAGCAGTTGAAGAAGTGGTTGTGCATAGCCTATTATACTGTGGCATGGAAAACTGGTTCTTCTTCCTCTATATGTGAAAATGAAATGTTCTAGTAAGTCGTATGCTAAAGTGTATCATCTTGTCCAATAACCGAGTTTGAATCAGGTGACATTCCTGAGAATGTTGTTGTCAATGGTGGGGAGAATGACATTTTTTATCTTGGCACTTTTTAAGGTTCGCAAATTATATCTCCTTTGGCTATAGTCCACATATGGTGTTGCACTGACGATTTTTTCCTTTTTTTTTGTTGTTCTTGTATGGCTTCACCTTCTCCAACATACCTTTTGATAATAGAAACTTCCTCAACATCGGTGGATCTATTTATTAATAGCTAGTTTAAGGTTTTGGAATTCGTTTAACCGAAGTCTTATAGATCATTATAAAGTCAAACATGATCAGGCGGTATATCAGATCAAATGTTGAGACATTCTTAAATTGTCATTTGGTGTGAATCATGTTAGAATCATTAAAAGGAACAGCTGAATTTTACTTGGTATTTTTCTTTTGGGCAATCCAATTGTTGGACATCTTTGGTTGGACACAATAGGTGTTGAACATGGATACATGCCTCCGATTAGCCAATTATTGGACATCCTGGATTCATCAGATAACCATATTGAACATGAGTTTGCGTCTGGCACTGAAACCTCTAGTTTTTAACTTTTAAAGGAAGGGGACGTTGGTTTATGGACCAATATCGAGCAATAGACTCGAATTGGAGTGCCTTTAAAAACAAATTGAACAATAGTGAACATTATTGCTGCTAGCAATGCCAGCCCAAAAATGTTTCAAAGTTGTGTGGTATATTTGCGCTGTCCGAAGTGCTTGTATATCTGTCTGCAAAAGTTCCATGTTCTTCAAAGCTAGGTGTCTCCCCTTATATTTTGGTGCTATCCAATTCAAACAAGTAACTAATATTGAAATATGGAGTTTCTTTTCAGCCACAATTTTGTTGAATCATTGATGGTTCTGATGTTATAGCATGCACGTTTCCACATGGTAGGGAAGGGAAATACGTAATAGCTCAGTTGATTCGTTCATCGAAAAATGGCCTTGGTAATAAGAATTTCTGAAACATATTTATTGTTATCTCTCAGGAATGGAGAAAATGAAATCCTATTAAAGTTGGTCCTTTGAAATCAAAAGATTACTCCTTGCACTAGGAATTACTGCTTAGAATTCACTTTCTAGATTTCTATTGTCGTCGTTGAGAAGCTCCTAACAAAACAGCTTCAGTCTAACGCTTGATCCCGCACTATTGATACAGAAAAGTACTGCCTCCGATCACACGATGGTTAAGGGGTCTGTTGCCCTTGTCAAGGGTTATTTTCTCATGGACCATAAGTTTTCAACCTCAGCCTACACGTCAAAGGCAGCCTGCTGGAAAAACATTTCTTAGTTTCTTTTCTATCGGAGATTAATCTTTGAGCTTCCATGGGTTCAACTTGCGATTCGGTTTTTATAGAACATTGCAGCATAGCACAAGTTTAGTGATAAAATGCAAAGCATTAAAGCAGCCTTGTGCCCGAATCCGACTTTAATCAGTTGGACTTCATTTTATCACCATGATAATATTCAGAAAAGTGTCACTTTTGCGGCCGATAAAATGTCACTTTTTTTTTTCAGTTTACCTGTAAAAAATATACCTATTAAAGCGGCCGTACTCTCTAATTATTTTGAATCTGAACCATCAAATTGCGTAAAAGTTTTGCTTTTAGGTGCCTTTCTTTGCAATTTTAATTGATCTTTTCTTTTCTTTTCTTTTCTTTTAATCAAGCTTAAAAGACTGAGTTCTGTCACAGTATTTGACAAAACTAGTCAGCTGGTTCACATTGGATCGATATTCGTAGAAATTTCGTATTCCAAACCGTGTCAAAATCAGTCGCAAGGACCGGGGGATTTTGAATTAATTCTTGGGGGCTGCCGATCTCCATGTCTTCTGCTACACTGTGTGGTTAAATTCGAGTCTTTTCTTTGACTTGTAGTTTCGTATCTGTCTGTATCTTTAAATTGTACGGATATATTCTGATATATATGATTCAAGGGGCCCTAACCAAATTTATTATGCTGCATTTATTCCTAACTGCAACTAGTTCTTGAATGCCTACCCCCCCCCCCAAAAAAAAAAAAAAACTAGTTCTTGAATGGAAAGTCACTTAAATGGACTGTACATTGGCGGACTTGTCTTGTCAAAGTAATATGAATTTATTCAGCATGCAGGCGGGCGGTAAGGGCAGTGATATAACTTTAATTCATCGGTCCAATAAAATCCCACCACTTTCTAAAACCGTTTCAATTATCGGTTTAATCCGATTCGACCGATTCTTGACATGTTCATTAAAACTTAATTCTGTTTTACTGAACTTTCGATTCTTGATTCCATCGATTTCATCGTCAATCCGATCTGATTTTTAATCATTGATCTTACCTTTCAATAGTACTCTTTTGTTTTAACCCGAATACTTCTCATAATCAAATTGCTAACATCATGAACTTTTTATGGTATTCACTAGCTAAAAGGTCTAAATAATGTTGAAAAACTATATAAAAATTGTAGAACTTGAACTTTATTTTGTTTCTCATGGCCAAAAAAGAAAAAAAAAACTATGTTTTGTTTATAAAAGGCTTCGCACTTGATGTTATTTTATTACTACATTGAAAAGGGTAGCAAAAGATATAAAAATATATATAATAAAAAATCTAAACCTCTACGAAGTATTCGACTTAGATGCCGCGTATATGAAAATTGTAATGTCAATATATAGCAAACAGACAATGCTAGCTTGAGAATAGAGACCATTCGGATTACCGATTGAAGCCGACTCTTTTTACTTCTTTTCTATCTCTCTTCACCCATCATCTGCTGTTTGTCGGTGACAAACCGTGTGGCCCTGGTTATCAACACAGAATATATTTTGTCAATCCATAGTGAAAAAAAGTTTGAAAAAGAAAAAAACAGGATTCGAATTCTCATATGATGTTACTGATAAAACTTAATTTTCAAAACTAAGTTGTGATAGCCAGTAGTGCCGACACAGCAGAAAATTGCCGATCACTTGAAAAGTGTTGCATGGGGTTCAACTTTTTCTAGCAAAGAAGAAATTAGAAGGGGAAAGAAAATAAAAAGGGAACACTAATGAGAAGGCTGGGAGAGAGTTTGTCATGTGCAGCACATGCATGCATGTTTGGTTTAAAACTTTTTTTGCTTCAATGAAACTCCAATAATGAGAAAGGGAAAGCATGCATTTCCCAACATTTCTGTTGATAAGGGCAAATAACTTACTTGAGGGTTCACATATGCATGTTTCCTCTCTTTTTCCATTTCTTTTCCTTCTTTTGATTTCTTCATCTTAACATAAACATCCACTTCTTTTTTTTTTTTTTTTTTAATTTTGGTTTGTTAGAAATTAAGCTCCGAAGAAATTATAGTTTAATTAAATTCCTATTTTGGAGTACCCTAGTTTCAAGTTTTCATTAGCTAAGTCATTTTGTAATTTGAGAAACCTCATTTATGCAAGTAAATGATATCTCAACCATTCTTAACCCGGTAAGTGTTAAGTTCATAACGAAATTGAAATCCAAATTGATATATAAAAATTGTGTCCCTTTCCCATGAAAAATGAGCAATTCTCTCTTTGAGATATATGGTGATCTATAAGTTGAGTATCACCAACTAATGCATCAATTATTTTTCAAGCAATGTTGATAAATTCATCTTTTATTCCATAGTTATTTATATATATTTGAACATATTGATGAGAGAGTGAAAAAATGTCCTGATGAATTGAATGTTTGAGCTAATTGCTATGAATGATCATGAATAAGTTGCGTTTGAACTCATATAATTATTTCTGGAATAGATGTAAATTTATCACTGTATTTATGTGAGCATTTCAAAATATATCACCAAATTTTCAACTAATTTTGAAGCAAATTTCCCGTTATACTTCAAATTTTAAGATAATTAAAGAATATTCAGTAAAATTTTTATTAGAAACTGTTTCACAGTATATAAAATAATTTTAAAAACTATTTGGTAGGGAAGAAGCAATCATGAAACTAAAATACGAAAATTTCTTTTTATTATTAATTTTTTCTTATATCATGACATTTTTAACAAAATATAATGCGACATAATCCATTTTTTATTTTATTTTTTTCTTCTTTCATCATGATATTTTTTACTAAATATAGTACCACACATCATTTTTTTTAGTAGACCGTACACTTTTTCTGTATCATGTTATTTTAAAGATATTTTTTGAATTATAAAATAGTTTTTAATAAAATATTTTAGAAAATATTTCTCAACCATTATATTTTGACCAAGTTTGCTCTAAAATTAGAAGTACATTAATAAATTTGCTCCAAAATAAAAGTATAATGGTAAAATTGCTTCAATTGAAAGATTAAAAGTTAACTAAGATTGCTCACATAAGCAAAAGAGTAAATTTATTCCTTATCTCCATACGGCCTCGTTTGTAAAAAAAAATTTATAGCTTTTCGCAACTATATTCATACGTACACAAGCTTAATATGTCATATATAGTTGGATTTGGATAAGAAGCAAAGAGGAAAATAGAAGGGCTTGTTGGCTATTTTGGGGTATAAGAGAAAGATGAAATTAATGAAAACTTAGAAAGAGTTTGCTTGGATCTTTGACCATATGACAAGCTATGATTTTTTTTATATTATATACTATTATATAAGAAAATTATTATGGAAGATGGTGGACCAAAATCTATGGCCAAATTGCATTTCTTTTCTCAAAATAAGAAAACTACATGAGATTTTTCTTTGGGAAATGTTAGGGGTGTTTAGATGCATGGATTGATCTAATATTTAAGAAAAATTTGTAATTAATGTGTGTTTTTTAAAAAAAAATTAATGAAACTAATGCATTAAATATGATTTTTTAAAATAGTAATTGAATCGTAATTTTCTACTTTATGAAATAACAAATACAAGAGAAGTTATAATTATAATCAACTATTACATTTATATATAATGTATAACCAAGTAATCAATTAATAAATTAAAACATAACTAGACAATCAAATTTTTTATATAGTGGAACTTGAAGTTAAAACCTCAAAATTTTAAGGTTTATTCATTATCATTAAACCAAAATCTCATTAACAATATATTAAATATAAATTTAAAGGAATTAATATTTTAATTATTCTTAGCCAATGTCTATACATAAATATTCATTAACGTAATCCTTTCTTTTTCATCTAAGCAACAAGAACAAGGTCATAAGTTGGTCACACAATCAAAAGTTAGATAAGGAGAGAGATGAGGGCAAATGTGTAGTTAAGAGAAGCACTCTCCACCAATTTCTTGTTTCCATGTCCCTATCTCTTGTTAATTCAAAATAAACTTTCTACCAAGGGGCAAGCCAGGATCCAATTTTTCTGTTTGGTAACTATGTCTTGCTTAGGTGGCACTTTATGGGCCCACATATTGCAGCTACGTGGCATTTTTTTGTTGGTCTCAACTCTCAACTCACCTTCCAATTACGTGTAGGGAATGATGTGGCTTTTATTTTATTTTATCTTGCAAAGATTTCATTTGTTAGCATATTTAAAACTAATTACACCCATTAGAATACCAATTACACGCTATTAATTTTTTAAAATATATCATATATAATTATTGTAGTGTAATTAATTAATTATAATTTAATATTGTGCAAAATTTATAAAAAAATTAAGTATAGCCTATATTTTTAAGTAGTACATTTTTTATATAAATTTTTTTTAAATTTATTAATTGCAAAATTATAATAAAAAAAATTGCAAGTGAACTTTATTCCATTTTATAATGTCAATTAAGATGAATGAGAGAGTAAATTTAAAAATGCAAGAAAGAAATGTGAATCCGAAGACTTGAAATTGGTTGAAAAACCTTTTTCGGCCAACATGGGCTCAAAGACAAAGGGAGTAGAATTCAAATAGGTGTACCCTCCCCGGCCCCAATCTAAAAGTTTAAAAGCCACAATCTTTCTAAGTTCTACATCCGCATCCTTTCCCATCTAGAAGAAATGCCTCAACTTGCATTAATTTCACCACAGGATCATCTCCACCGACACCACCACCACCTCCTCTTCCTATTCCTCCTCATCTCGGCCACCAATGCTACCCGTGCCGCCGCTATTACTAGCACTGGTTATCAAAGATTCAAAGAAGCTCCACAATTTTATAACTCTCCAACCTGCCCTTCCATTGAAACAAGTGGCATTAATGAAATGTGCTCTGATGAAGCTGTTCATGTGGCAATGACCCTTGACGTCGCCTACTTACGTGGCTCAATGGCCGCCATTTTATCCGCCCTCCAGCACTCTTCTTGCCCTCAAAACATCCTCTTCCACTTCATTGCCTCTGCCACCACCAACAACCATCACCTCCGCCGCATAATCTCCCGCTCTTTTCCTTCCCTCAAATTCCAAATTTACCCTTACGACTCCTCCGCTGTGTCGGGCCTTATTTCCACTTCCATCCGCTCAGCACTCGACTGCCCTCTCAACTACGCCCGCAACTACCTCGCCAACGTCCTCCCTCCATGTCTACACCGAGTCGTTTACTTAGACTCCGACCTCGTCCTCGTAGATGACATTGCTAAACTCGCCGCAACCCCACTAGGCGACCACTCTGTTTTAGCTGCACCTGAGTATTGCAACGCCAACTTCACTTCCTACTTCACCCCAACTTTCTGGTCAAACCCTACATTATCTTTAACATTTGCTGGGCGCAAAGCTTGTTATTTCAACACTGGGGTAATGGTGATAGACTTGCAAAGATGGCGTGAAGGAGATTACACTACAAAGATTATAGAATGGATGGAGCTTCAAAAGAGGATGAGGATCTATGAGTTAGGGTCCTTGCCACCGTTCTTGCTGGTCTTTGCAGGGAACATAGCGCCTGTTGATCATAGATGGAACCAACATGGGCTTGGAGGAGACAATTACAGAGGATTATGTAGAGATTTACATCCTGGTCCTGTCAGTTTGTTACATTGGAGTGGGAAAGGGAAGCCATGGGTGCGACTAGATGCCAACAGGCCTTGTCCTTTGGATGCTTTATGGGCTCCTTATGATTTGCTGCAAACACCCTTTGCTATGGAGTCTTAGAATTTTGGTATATTATTTTCTAAAATAAATCTTTCTCTTTTTCATGGCGGAGGGGGTGTCTTTTTTCCCTTTCTGGGCTGAGATTTTTAGGTTCAATGAAACCATAGACTTATGAGAATAGAGATCTGAGCGAAAAATCAAGATCTTTTCTCCTGCAGATGGTGAGAAGTGTGGGGAGGTGTTCATAGATTATACAGCAGAGCAGACTATTAACAATCTTACAATCCTTTTTTTTTAAATCTATGTATCTGAGAACAGTATATATCACAGTTACGGCTACAAAAGAAGAGAAACAATATCAAAATATTTTCAATTTCCATGTTCATCTCCCCTTTTTGTCTGTTGAATTGCTTGATATAATTGCATCTATATATCTTCTTTTTTTCTTTTCTGATAATAATATGCAGAAATCCCGGGCATTGATTATGATTATGAAAATTTTGAAAACTATGATGTTGGTGCAATGTCCGGTCTAATTGAACTGTACATCTGTACCTTATTTTACTACACAATTTGAGACAGGTTTGAAATACATCCACGTGCAGTAAATGATTTCCATTTTTTTTTTTTACCTCCACCCCATTACTTTGTTATTTATATATTTCTCACCGTTTCCAAATTTTAAGGGGAAGCTTTGTGATGGGATTGGGGTACAGTCATACAGTCATGACTAGTAGCTAGAAATCATTTACTATAGCTTTAATGGTTTTTGTTTGCTTCCTCTCCTTTTCCTTTTGGTGTCTATTGTCATGTCAAAGCCAAACATTTAACTTCGATACTTTGACCAAAATGATGATGATTGATGGGCTAAGTAGCGTATGACAAAAAGTGCCTAAGAAAAGAATTTTGAGCTTTAATTTAATTTTATAACATTGTTTTTGAAAGATACCATTTCATAAAATTTAAATTTATAATCTTTTTATTCAAATTACGGCATTTTATATATCAATTAAAGACGGTCTAAAAATACTTACTATTCTCATTTAATCTAATTTGATTACCGTTTTCCCGTTATGATTAGCGGATTCGAGGGCCTCATTTACATATTCAAGGCACATTTCCTGCCGAGGTGATTCCCAAATCTCTCTTTACACCGCAAATTAAGCTGATATTGTGAGCAAAATTTTATGGGGTCCCAAGGCCTTTAGTTTTTCTTTATTTTCCATTTAGCCTTTAATCACATGGCCTTGAATTTGAATTTTCTTATCAGAAAAGGCACCAACTAAAATGTTGATACAAAATTTAAGATTGCAGGTGAAAACATGAAAGCTTTTCTCTCTTATTTGGTGGCCAAATTACTTAATTAGCAGAGTATTGAATTTAGGCAAGTGGCCTCTTTTGATTTTGAGTGACATGAAATTACTAGGAATATCATTTCACAGCTAATAGTCTTTGTTAGTACTTATTAGGTAAACTTATATTCGCATATATATTAGTTTATCTTGCATATAGCATGTAGATGACATGATATGCCAATATTATAATGTAATAATAAATTTGATATATTTATGAGTGATTTACTAAGGGCTTATTTTGGCCCAATTTATCATGTTATGCTGCCGTCATTTATAATTTAAATAAATATTCAGGGAGAATGTTATTAATTTAATAAAATATTATCAATGTAGAAAAAATATTTTAATATGCTTTAAATATCATGCATTAATTAATTTAATAAGAATAAATAATTAATCTAATAAATTGTTAAGGAAATATTTATCATACAACTCGGTCAAATCTTTCACTAACCACCGTATGTGCCAATAATAATACACAATAATCTCCAATTTTAAACTAGATCGGTTCATAAGCACTTCCAGAATCTAAAGTCCACCCAAATAAGTCAATAATGTACACAATCTATATTTTGTTTTTGTTTGTTTGAGACTTTGATTTTCCAAACAACTATAGTCTATTTGATCGTACCAAAAGGATATATTCAAATTGACTTGTGTAAAAGGAAAATACAAAGAAAGGGGTTGAGGATTTGAGTTTTGACCTAACCTTGCAGTTCAGAAGCCACTATAATTAGGTACACTAATCTTTCTCCCATAAATCAATTTGGCATGAAATTTCTCTGGTTTTTGCATCTTTGGATTAATTATAAAAAACCTATTTTCTAATTAAATTCAACTTTGACTAGCCTGCCAACCATGCCTAAGTTGAAAGATTTTAATTTTATTTGACCAAGAACTAAATAGATAGGTCTGATTTGGCCATTGTTTTAGCACAATGGAAAAGCATATTTAAACTTGACAGTGCTTTTCAGACATGATTACATATATATATATATATATATATATATATATATGTTCATGTCCTCAATGAGATCAAAATATTAATCTTGGTAATTTTTATGGTTTAAGATTATGGGATTGCTAGAAAATCAGAAACATCGTGAAGATGGGTTACTACTCATAATTTTTTTTGCTAATTGATAATTGATGCAGCCACTCTACGGTAGTATATTAATTTTATTAGGCAAATGTGTAAAAGTCCTTTCAAAAAGCAAATGCAAAATTTCTCATCTGATTGTGCAATTAAGAATTAGCACATAGAAAGTTAAGGAGATAATAAAATCTTCAAAATCAGAGCAGCAAACGCGTTATCTTCTTTTCAACGTTGATTTATTTTGACTTTATAAGGAATAAAATAAGGAGTTTTGTTTTTAGCTTTTTCTTTATCTTTTAGTAGATACAGGGAAGCTCCTGTCTGATTCCCATAATTTTCCATCTTTCTCTCTTTCTTTCAATAATGTTTTTCCGGAGGTGTTTTGTTATTTTCCATCAACTGGCAGAACACCACAAGTTCTTTTAATTCAGTATGCTAGTTATAGTCAACATCATTTCACGATTAAAGATAACCGATTACCAACACTTTATGAACTGACTCAATTTTTATTATATTGTTAAATTTAATAAATAATTACGAATAATATTTTAAAATTTATTAATTAAATAAACAGATAATAAACTGTTAGAAGATGTGTTTAGGACTGTTAATGTGGATTCATTGAATGTTTCATATAGTTTCTGTTTTTCTGGTGTTGGTTATTTTTTTGTTATTCATGCTGGTGGTCATAGCTTAATCTTAGGATTATGATTTTAGTGGGTAGTTATTAATTAGGCTTTAAATTGTAATGTTTCTGATGTTAAGAAATGCAATAGTGAGTAAAGTTTTCTTTGCTTCAAAGATACAACATTTAGTATCAAAGCTTTCTTCTTAAGGGATCTGTGTGTGAAACTGACGCGTCATGGAAGCTGAAGCCAGTTTCTCCGCAATTGCTCCGGCGGTGTTTGACGGAGATAACTACCAGCTTTGGGCAGTACGTATGGAAACATACTTGGAAGCTTTAGATCTTTGGGAAGCAGTGGAAAAAGACTATGAAATTCTTGCACTTTCAAACAATCCCACCATGGTACAAATTAAAGCACAGAAAGAAAAGATGTTGGAGAAGACCTGATGCTAAATGCACTAAATGTAATCAGATGGGGCATGAAGCTGTTATCTGTAAAAACAAAATTCTGCAACCTGGTGAAGATGCAAAGATTGCTGATCAAGAGGAGGAAGATCACCTGTTCGTAGCTACGTGTTTCTCCGGCATCGAATCAAGTGAGAGTTGGCTTATAGATAGTGGTTGTACTAACCACATGACACATGACAATGATCTATTCAGGGAACTAAGCAACGCAAACTCATCGAAAGTTCGAGTAAGTAATGGCAAATACATAACTGTGAAGGGAAAAGGAACAGTTGCAATTTCAACTTGTTCAGGTACAAAGTTCATTTCTGATGTATTATATGTCCCTGAAATTGATCAAAACTTGTTAAGTGTTGGACAATTAATTGAAAAGGGTTATAAAGTTGTGTTCGAAGATAAAAGTTGCTTGATTAAAGATGCAGTTGGCCAAGATATTTTCAAAGTAAAAATGAAAGGGAAAAGCTTTGCTCTAAATCTATTGGAGGAGGAGCAAACTGCTTTCCCAATCAAAGAAAATATCACTGAAGTATGGTACAAGAGGCTTGGGCACTATCATCATTAAGGGCTGCTGCAGATGAAATCCAAGAATATGGTAAATGATTTTCCAGAACTTGATGATCATATTCCAAATTGCAAAGCATGTCAGTTTGGAAAGCAAAGTAGGAAACCATTTCCCAAGGTAACATGGAGAGCATAAAAAAAGTTACAATTAATTCATACTGACATTGCAGGCCCACAAAGAACGCCTTCTCTTAAAGGTAGTCTTTATTATGTTGCATTCATTGATGATTTCACCCGTATGTGTTGGATCTTCTTTTTAAAGTACAAGTCAGAGGTGGCTCAAGTTTTCTGGAACTTTAAAGCCAAAGTTGAGAACGAGAGTGGCTGTAGAATTCAAACTTTCAGATCAGACAATGGCAAAGAGTACACCTCTGAAGCATTCACTCATTTTTGTGAAGAGGCAAGCATCCAACATCAATTAACCGCTCCATACACTTCATAAAAAAATGGAGTAAGTGAGAGATAAAATATATTCATATTGGAGATGACACGATGTATGCTACATGAAAAGAACCTATCAAAGCAATTTTGGGCTGAAGCAGCAAATACTGTTATTTTTTTTGTAAAACAGGCTTCCCACAAGAGCAGTGGAAGATCAAACACCCTTTGAGGCATGGTATGGTTATAAACCATCTCTGAATTTCCTTAAAATATTTGGATGTTTGTGCTTCATTTATGTTTCCACAGACCAAGAAAGATAAATTAGATAAAAGAGCACTTTCAGGCATCTTTATTGACTACAGCTCAGTTGCAAAAGCTTATAAAGTTTTCCAGCCACAAACTAGAAAAATTATTATAAGCAGGGATGTGCACTTTATGGAAGATGAAGAGTGGAACTGAGATGATGCAAAAAAGATGGATCCAACCTTAAAAGAGCACAAGCTCAAGTTTTCTAGCATTAGAGATTGGGAGAATGAAATGGTGGATGACAGTCCTATCAAAGGTACAAGACTACTTTCTGATATTTATCAAAGATGCAATATTGCTGTGTGTGAACCTATAAATTATGAAAAGGTTAAGATGGATCAAAATTAGATTGCTGCAATGAAGGAGGAGCTATTCATGATTGAAAGGAATGAAACATAGGAGTTGGTCGATCGACCCCAAAACAAAAAAGTAATTAGAGTTAAATGGGTGTATAGAACCAAGCTTAATGTTGATGGCTCAGTCAACAAGTATAAAGCTAGACTCGTGGTCAAAGGATATGCTCAAGTACTCGGTGTGGACTACTCAGATACCTTCGCACCAGTCACTAGTCTCGACACCATCAGGCTCTTACTCGTCGTTGCAGCACAAAAGAGTTGGAAAGTGCACCAATTAGATGTCAAGTCAGCATTCTTGAATGGTTTTCTGCAAGAGGAGATTTATGTAGAACAACCAAAAGGCTATGTTAAGGAAGGAGAAGAAAACAAGGTTTATCTTCTTAAAAAGGCACTTTACGGATTGAAGCAAGCTCCAAGAGCTTGGTACAGTAGGATTGATGAACATTTACAGAACTTGGGATTTGTCAAAAGCTTATCTGAATCAACATTATAT